AGTTGCCGAATTTCCTGTACCTAAGACCAAAACTGAGATCAGAGCATTTTTGGGACCAGCGGGCTATTATAGTCGATATATATCAATGTTCTCTGTTCTAGTTGCACCATTAACAGACACTTTAAAAGGTAAAACAAAAAAAGGGAGAAATTACCTGGACGATCGAATGCGAAGAAGCCTTTAAGAAACTGAAACAAAAATTAACGAGCCAACCTATACTCTTCTCTCCCAACTATGAAAAAGAACTTATCTTGTAAACAGACGCTTCGGAAATTGGTATGGGTGTGGTATTAACACGACTAGATAATGAAGGCCATGAACACCCCATAATATATCTAAGTAAAAAGTTTAATGAGTCCGAAAAAATATTGTACTGCGGAAAAAGAATGCGCCAGTATAATTTTTGCCATCAAAAAATTACGACACTATTTAGATGGCTAACCTGGCTTAAAACAAATGCTAGTTCAAATGCCAGACTTATGCGTTGGGCTTCAGCACTACAACCGTTTAATTTTAAAGTTGTGCATAGAGCTGGTACTAAGAACAAGAATGCAGATTGTCTCAGTAGAGTATCTTTAAGTTCTTGATTTGAATTAGACAAAAGTTAATTGATGGGGAGGAATATGTAAATAATGTTTGTTTTTCCTATTGATATTGATACAGATTAGTCTTATTTCCTTATTCATACGTATGATTTATTTATTTTAAAAACTAACTCGTAATGAAATTAGTTGCTATTAAAGTTTGAATTAAAGCTTTAATTAAGGTGGAAATATAAAATAAAAATGTATTGAAGTTTTTGAAATTGAACCAGTTAAGTTTAATTTAAGAAAGTGTTTAAAAATGATTATATTGAAAATGAAACATAGGTATTAAACGAATTTGTTTGTAGAGAAAAGTGCTAATGTTCTTAAATATATTATTTTTTATGCATATAAATATTAACAAGATTGAGTAGAATCTAATTGCGTGAAGCTTAAAAATGTTAAGTATATTGTTTGGATTTAAAAAAAATTAGTAATGCCAAGATAAAAAAAAATAAGCTCTTTGATAAAGAAATCTGGTTAGCTTCAGTCTTTAGATATTGTTGTATACATGTAAATAGTTATGCTAAATTATAATATTTATTTACATTCTAACTTTATTTCGAATATTTTAGTTTGATACCAAAATTGAGTTACAGGTGAATTGTGTATTAATGTTTACTGCAAGAGTCTAAAAATAATTTAGAAATTTTAAGTTTTAAAGTTAATTATTGTACATCACTTCTAATGTAAAAATTGTATCTTGCATTTAATTTGACAATTAGAAAATTTAATTTTAAAAGTGAAATGTTTTGATTATAACATAATGCAGTGGTTTCAACCTAAAGTTTTTGAGGACACAAAAAAAGTTCATAATAAACTTTTCCCTTGTTTAATATGGAAAAGTTCTTCCAAGGGGAGAGGAGTTATAAAGTCTAAAAATATAAGAAAGATAATTGGTTTGCAAAAGCATGAATAAAAGTAAAAATATTAAAAACCAACGGGCTGGCAAAAGCATAAATGAAATAAACACATAAAAAGATAAATTTAAATAACAAAAGCAAACGATAAAATTAGAACACTGGAAAGTTGTTGATTTTTTAGAATGAGTTTTGTGTGGAATTCGAGTTTTCCTATATCCCGTGACGGGCACTTTATCTAGTTGTTTTATAATATTTTATCTATCCCGCCACGGGTGAGTTTTCTTATATCCCGTTACGGGTTTTTCTTGCTGTTTTATGATCTTTTCCCGTTACGGGTAATTCATATTTGTTACTGTTTGTGTTGTTTGTAAATAAAAGTTTGTTATAAAAAAAACTGAACAGTTCTTTAATTTAGCTTGATACGCTACACCCTCTAAGGAAAATTTATTTTTTGGATAGTGCACCTCACTTGTTGAAAAATATAAGAACATCATTATATCATTAGAGATATTTCCTTATTTCTGAGAAGTTTCAATAAAAGTATGATTTACCATTAAAAATAGCAAATTCTGAGCACATGAAGGATTTTAAAAAGTATTGAAATGATCATGAGCTTAAACCTGTGCACAAAATATTTGATTTTTACTTTGATGTGAAACATTTTAGCACAATAAATTCTGCAGTATTTTTCAGTGCTAAGATTTCCAAATGATGTGATTTCTAACTTCTAAAGATCTAGTCACCGTAATAAATATGAATAGATCTTCTATCTATTAGAAAAACCGCATAATTGCTGTTATTTCTTCGAAATATCATAAATCGTTCAGAAATTGTATGGAAACTATCTCAAACTGGTTTTTAATTTAACAACTAATTCGATTTTAGAATTACAGAATTATTTCCATTTAGAAAAGAACCTTATATTATTTCAAGCAAGTAGAAAATTTTGTGTGATTTGATCAAAGCAAGTGATTCCATGAGTTGTAAAAAATTAAAAGTTGTTTTAAATTTTTTCGTGTGTAACGCTGGAGTTTTGATGAAGCACCCAGATTTGCCAACTTTTCCGTCTTCAACTGGAGTTTTTTCTCAATCATTTAAAATGGTAACAAACTTTACGATTTAACATTTAATTGAAGGAACAATTAAATTTAACATTGAAATAATTCCTGACTACCACGATATTTATATTGTGCCGAAATTTTCGGATTTGCAGATAGATCTGATAATACCCATTGTTTATATGATGATAATAGAAGATAAGAAATAGAAGATAGAAATCGTTTTTCAGTTGGATATCGTGACTAAACTGCCAAGAGTGACCTACTCAGATGTATGATAGAGATAGGTATGGGATTAATATGCATAAACCTCATATTTTTTTCCTTAAGCAGGTAACAGGTGTTTAAACAGTTTGGGTATATGATATCATTCTTGACTCATTATTCTTTAACATATTGGCCATGTGTCAAACATTCAAATGCAAACCACTAACAAAAGCGAAGTTCTTATAACATCATGTAATTAGCTTAAACGTTTTTTGTTAAATTAATATTCAAGTAACTCGGATATTAGTTTTATATAGTTCCCGCTATTTTTAAATATTTTTTAAGAAATTTCTTTTTATTGTTTCCTCATGCAAAATAATAAAATTGCTCAATATTTTTCTGTCTACACAATTAACGTAATAACTAATTGGATGAGCTTCTACGAGATTCAAGGAAAACAATGATAAGATTTTTAGAAAGAGAATTCTGCTCTGGTTATTGTATTTCAATCAATACAAAATGACTAAGAAATACTTTGGGCTCAAATTTTAGATGCAGAATTCGTAATTGCATTTGAAAATACCCTGTTTTTAACTCAAAACATTTGTTTAGTTCATTTGTGATTACATTCGTGATTTTTAACCAAACCCTTATTATTTTAAATAAGTTTTCAAATCCCTTATTATTAAAATGAGTCAATCGTATTGCCATTTAAAAAATTTTGTCACGAGCATACTAGGAAGAAATTTTCCCTGAAATACTATAACACTGAAGCTTTTTTCAAACATCCCCTGTTAAGCGACATATGGTGAAAGGGTATTGAGGTAATTATAAAGAGTCTATTCGAATGCAAGCTTCTAGGACTCAAAGAGGAGAACTTCTACAACGTTATCTGGTATTTTATACTCCAATTTTTTTTTACTAAATTTGACCTTTTTAACAATTTTACTTGTTCTTTGTTAAGACCTTGTAGCTATTAGTATTTTAGTCCTATCTAAGTTTGAGATGATTTTCATGCATTTTAATAGCTTTGTATTTAATATCTTTCACAATTACATTGTATTTTAGGTGTATTTTATGCTATTTTTTTGTACTTTAGCACTTTTACTATTTTATTGTATTTTAATTTTTTTGTTCTATTTTATTGTACTTTAGTCCTGTAGTATTATTTTATTGTTGTTGTTTTCAATCCTTCTTAATATAGCCCCAGCTATATCAGATCCATGGGTCCAAACGCTCTGGTAAAAGTCACCCACCAAAATTGATCGCAAGAGTATGTCCTCCAAGAAAAACTCCAGACAGTCAAGGATGTGTTCGGGGAAAGCTGGTTTCAAATTTCACTTGCTATATCTTGGGAAAACATTGCTTCCAAATTTGAAAGTTTATCTTTTTAAATGGTCAGTGATGAATTGTGAAACTGCCGTTTGATCCGATATATCTCCTTTGAACTCCAAAGCACTACCAGAGCTATTTCTGTCAAACCAGTGGTGAACAGGATGGGTTTACCATTTATTATATTGTACTTTAGTGTATTTTAACTTTAAGACTTTAGCGTTCCATTTGTATTTTAGTGTACTTTATTATATGTTAATGGACTTTTGTGTGCGGAGTATTGTAGTTGTATTCAATTGTACTTTAGGATATTTTAACTCATTTTAATGTACTCTATTTTTATTAAGCATTAATGTATTTTTCGTACTCTCTGTACAAATATATTTTGCTGATTGGATCAATAAAGTTTCAGCCGAAGTGGGAGCTTTGCGGTTTTCTAGTCGGCTGGGGTGTCCAGTGGGCTGGGGTGTGGTGCCGCTCTGCTACGTGCAACCCTAGCAGTCTTTTGCTCGTCTGCGGAGTGTTTGGCACTCGAACCCTTGTTTGTACGTATCGTATAGCTTTGTTTGAACGTATCGTATAGCTTTGTTTGAACGCATTGTATAGCTTTGTTTGAACGTATCGTATAGCTTTGTTTGAACGTATTGTTTTGGCCTTTGTTTGAACGTTTTATTCCACTTGTCTCGGATGGTTCCACATCGATCTTTCTGCTTTTTCGTAGACACGTTCTTGCATCTCATCAGTACCTTCGTATGCCCCATGGGGCAAGTCAAGGCCTCTTCGACATCTACATTTTGTCTCTAAAAATTACTGAACATTTAAATAACTGCAAGTGATAACATAATGATAAAAATTCCCAAAGATTTATGATTAAACTAATTGTTGTAGCTTTTTTTTCAAAACCTAATATTTTAAAATTGAATATTTTTATTTGAGTATTTCATTTTAAAGGCCTCTGACTTCTTACTAATTCATTTTATTAAACATCACTACAATCTCAAATCAGCTTAACACAACATAATTATATTATTTACTGATGTTTAAAAGTATTGTTAAGCTATAATTATTTTAATCTTTACTGAAATTCATCTTGCTTTTCGAGGTGTAAATCGTAGCATGAGGGGATCCAGATTTCGAGAGATGAGATTAGGAGTAACATTAACTTTGTCTCTGGGGTCCTTGGATGTAACTTCAAAATTGCGAAATACATTTGTGAGCACAGTCTTGACTTCCATCATAGCAAATTTTTGACCTGCAAACATTGAAGAAAAATACTATTACAGATCAAATGAAATATATGAAGAAAGCTAACTTTACTTCGAGTAAGCTAAATAGAAGACTATTTTCTGCATTTCCCATTAGTGTGAAAAAACTTGAAAAAAAAATCTGTCGCAAATGTAATGATTAGATAATAAAAATCTGTATCTATTTAGAATTTTATGCACTGATAAAGCAGAAAATAGTTTCCTCTTCAACTTTTCCAAAAGGAAGTTAACAGAAGTTGAAGCTGTTTGCGCAGAAAGATCCAAACGTTAATGTGATGTTGTTACATCACACGTGCGTAGATGTTCAACTCCTCAATAGTTTTTTCAGTTTTCGTTCATTTTACCGCAATAGCCTTTCACTACATTTAAATTGATCAACTGATTTTTCTTATCGATTATCCCCACCATAACTTTAATAACCATAATATTGCTCCTTTCCGCGGTATGAGAGAAACAACGTTCTCATTTTTGAAATTTTCAGGCTCTCTCCTCCCAGGAAATTTTTTAGTACTTCACCCCTTTTAAAGTGCAAGATGTAAAAATATTTTAAATTTAAAGCTTATCAAATAAATGTAAAGGTAAATCATATTTTGTTTAATTGTAAACTTTGGCAAATTAAGATGCGCAGCACGTGTGCCTTGTCGCCAATGATTGGCGAGTTTCCATGGTAACAATCACCAAATCTACAATCCAGATGTTTAAGAATCATCTATGCTAGAATTCCTCATTTTAAAAGACACAAAAAGGAAGCCTCGTCCGATTCGAAATACAAAAATGTGCGTTCCATTTGAATAATTAGATGCTATATAAAGGGAGCCAGCTCCATCAAAGTGAACCACCATGAGGTCCGATGAATAAAATGAATTTTTTGTAAATTTGAACTTTGTGCCCTCTTTAACTCCATTTCAAATGCACCTGACCAGTTACGAAACCTCGAGATCCTTCTGAAACGAAGGATCAGGTAATTAATTTGAACAGTGTTTTGTTTAATGATACGATCACTCTTTTATGTTTTCGTTCATTTATTCTAAATTAATTTAAATCGTAACAATACGATAATTAGTAAACATCCAGCGATCCAAACATAATTAGCAAACTCGATAAAACATTTGAATAAATTGTTCATTTAGAATAGTTTCCGGAAGAGTTAACTTTTATTGACATTTGCCAATTGCCAACAAAATATATCCTAGTTACTAGTATTTCCTAGTTTTTTCTAGTATTCTTTGAAAATAACGCAAAAATGAAAAGTAACTATTTTTTCCCCATGGCCTATCAAGAAAAAATATTATAAAAAGAGATCAACTTTAGTAAGACAAAAATTACCAAATTAAATTTCAATCTGATTTTTCACCTTATTCAAAAAAAAATTCCGTGTCTTTTGACGAAAATTTCTGGTTGTTTCGATACAAAACCGACTCAAAGTTTCGCATGCAATTTGGAACATTAAAACAATCACAACCCAATCCACTGCGAGAATTGATAGATTGACATAAACTTTTGGAGCAAGAACAACATTTTTGTTAGAACGTGTTAAAGTCTACGTCAGAATGAACCTACCTTGGCTTGAAACAGTTTAAATAATTATAACATTTGAAATGATAAGACGAAATGGTCACAATATTCCAAACGTAAATAGCTTTCAGTACTCTAAGTAAGCTAATCAAACGGTCATCTAACGTGGAACTTGTGTTTATCTACTCATTTACTTACTACTTGTGTTTATTTACTTTGTGTTTATGCTGCTGCATTATCGGTATCTGCATTAAAAAACAAAAGTAAACAAAATTATTGCACATAATTATGATTAAACATATTATTCAAATAATTAAGATTGTGATAAAAATCCAGCTCGCAATTTACTCTTGGGTGTATATTTTAACATCACACTTCACATGTCATATTTGACACTTCCATTGAAATTCAAGGACGGATGGATTACATACAATAAAAAAAAACAATTACATAGATTGAAACATGTTTTCTGACAGTTTGCTAACAAGGGAAACTAGGGAAGTGTGACTCGCCAATTTTGAAATAAACTAGTGGGATGTATGCCTTATGAGGAATAATTTTGGGTGGCAACATTCGTTTCGGCCCATAGAAGGTTCTGTGAGAGATAAAAAATAATTCAATGTATAGTTTCAATGATGACT